CCAGCACTTGAGGATGAAGTGCACCTGCCAAAGAAAGCATTATCAAATGAAAAATGTGGCTACAACACCATGGCATTGAATTATTGATTACATATGTTGATGTGTATTCCAATAAAAGAGATGAAATTGCATAAACAAAAGAAATTGGATTGGCTTGGCAGTGGGCATGGTGGGATAATAGTTTAATCAAAGCATGTAGCAATCGGTTGCAACAGGAGCAGCTCCAATTCCTATAAATAGATCATTGCTGCAGCTTCAGAAAGACACATGTCACCGAGAGCTCCACAACTCCTTGAGCTTTCTCCTTCATCCAATTCTTCTAGTTTTAATTTCTTTTAGTTTTATTTTATGGGGAACTAACTCCCTAGCTAAGGCTAGGGAGAAAGCTTTTAATATGAGTGTGTAATTTTTATTACTTTGATCCAAACTTAAGCTTTAATGTGAATTTGTAGTTTTCTCTTTAATTAATTGATGAATGTTTGATAATCTATTTTATGGGTTCAATCATGTTTTTCCCATTGTGTAGTAAAAACTTTCATGCTTTTAAAAAAGGAGAGAATTACTAAGATTAATAGAATTTCGATGAATATTATTTTTTTGATAGTTTGTTGCCAACGGTACAAGTTATGTTTAGAAAACTTCTAAAGGAAATTAAAAGGAGCTTTAAATATTTTGAACAATTACAATGGAAAATATTTTGTGGATCAAATTAATAACATTTGCATGCTTATGTTAAAGGTGGAACCTCAATGCTTTAGTGTTTTAATCAATTAAATTTCCTTTAAATCAAATCTTGTATAAATCTACTTCTCTATCTCAATTGTTCTTTTTCAGCTCTATTATTTTCTTTACACCACTCTTTGTGGATAAGACACTTGGACTTCCGAGCTACACTGATGTACGACAACTCCCCTTGGGTTTTACAAGCGGTCAAACACCCTGCATGCAAGTGGTTTGGTAGGAGAGTATTTGGGCAGTTGCACGTCCCTGGTGATTGAGGAGAGAAATATGGGGCCTAATCGTGGCTCAAGGGGCTGCATCCGAGTCCACACATTTGAGGACAGCTCCGACAGGTCTTCAGCATTTAGAGCCCAAAATCTCTCTCAGCCTTTTTGGCCTTGCACTGTATAAATGAGAATTCTATGGTGGTTGAGTCCAAAATAGAGACCTATTAGGGATGGCCTAAAGAACTCTGCATAATCCTAGAAACTTTTGAGCTCACATCACACCTAAACAATGACTATCAGTCACGTCACCTGCTTGCCTCTACTTTTACATTGGAGGTTTCGGTGTGGCTGGAGTGTTAGGGTTTTGATATGGGTGGTGGTTGTGGTTGGGGGCGTGGTGGACGGGGGACATGGTTGGGAGCAGACTTCGTTGGGTGGATGTGGTTGGGGTTCTTGGTAGAGATATGGCCTCAAGTAGGGTTGGCAATAGGTCGTGTCGTGTCAGATTCGTGTTGTGTCAAGATTATATACGTGTCAGGAATGCTCAACCCAAACTCGACCCGTTTAATAAACATGTCAAGCACGGGTTGACCCATTAAGTTCTCGTGCGGGTTTCGAGTCGTGTCGTGTTGACCCGCTAAGTAGTAACAACTAAAAGACATTAAAAAAAAATTAGAAAAATGAAGAATAAAAAGATAAACGGGTTAGTGGGTTGGCGAGTTACACGGGTATTTTAGCGGGTTGGCGGGTTAATAGGTATTTTAGCGGGTTGGCGGGTTAGACCCGTTTTGTTAAACGGGTTAAATAGGTATTTTAGCTTGTTGGCTGGTTGACCCGAAACCCACCCGTTTATTAAACGGGTTATGGCGAGTTGACCTAAAAATGACCCGAATTTTAATCGTGCGGGTTTCGAGTCGTGTAACGGGTCATGCCCGAAATTGCCACCCCTAGCCTCAAGGAGAGAGGAGAGAGAGAGAGAGAGAGAGAGAGGTTATACTAATAGACATGTGTCAAGTTTTGAAAATGATAGTGAATATACACATTGGGTTAAAGTGTTGATAAAAAATGCTCCTCAAATACATTATAAAAAAAAAGGTAATTATTTTTAGTCAAAGCACGTGAAATCAAGATGTCTTTTTTCTAGAAGGATAATACTTAGCACCAATATATCGAGTGAGTCATGGGGGTGGGTAGAGGTTTTTCGCTGCTTTCTAACCTAAACAATTAGCTAATTGGCGACAGTGATAAGTTGTTGTCCTTTCTTAATGACTATTGTTCACTATTCAACGACAAGTAGTTCACTTTCTTTCTTTGTTTTCAACGACTTAAAAGATTCTGTCTTTTATGAAGATTTGGCCATTTTAAAACTGTCAATAATTTGGTGTCTCTATGTAGCATGAGTGAAGTCTACAGTCAACAACGGTGTTTAAGATTCACAAAATTACCACCTTTAGTCCGTAAACTTTTTTCTTTCTATCAGCATAGTCCTCCAAATTAACATCCAACATCAATTTTGGCTCCTACCATTTGATTTTGCCAATAATATCTGTTAGTGTTAATGTATGAATTTTGATTAATTCTTTTGGCTTCCCTTGACAATTTTGTAATAGGTCTTTTATATGTATTTATCAAGCTCAAGGATAGATTAAGATTAGCATCTCTAAGTGTTCTTAAATCTCATCTATCCTATGGAGGTTCAAGCATGCATTGCATATCATGCATTAAAACTGTTTTCATAAAAGATGACTAGTCATCTTTGCTCAGTGCGATTTCCAGCTGGTTAACCATATGTTTTGTCCTATTCTATTTCTCTCTCTACTGCCATGTGTCAATCTGACCTAAGGGAATCTTTGGTCTGTAAAAGCAAGAAATATCCCTCATTTGGAAGCCGTCTCTTTTGGTTGGTAGTTTTGGAAAGATTGGTTTGCCATCTTTCTCTTCTTCTTCCTCAAGAGTAAACAATATATTTCATCTATGAGTTTTTCTAATTGATTTCTTTTTGAAAAACTGCTTTTGAAATATGAATCTGCATCTAGCTATTT